AAAAATGAGGAGCTGATGCCAAGGGCTTAGGTGGAGAGCAAATGTTTTGAGAATGATGAGGACAATGAATGTACAAATGTGCTTTACACAATGGATGGATGTATGGATTGTGGTAAGAGTTGTATGAGCTCCTAATAAAATGATTTTAAAAAACCAACTAAACTAAACCAACAGTTGCCCCAAACCAAAGATGAGAAAGTGAGGCGGGCATGGAAACCAGACAACTGGCAACAGGAGGCTGCAGGGGAAAACAGGGGCAGTGACAGTACGTTGCAGGAGTTGAAGTTAATGCCACAGAACAATCTGGATGCTGCACTATTGATTGGGAAAACTGCTGTTTAAACGTCCACTTAAAGCACGAGAAAAGTATTTTCTTAAAAAAAACAAAAAACAAAAAAACTCGAGAGGCAGTTCATTCCAAGAAGTATATTACACTGAATATTGTTTCATTTGACAAATGGGAAATATTATTTAAACTATTTATCCACATCATATAAAAAAGTACAGATGTGTTTTTTGTAATGGTTGGAACTGGGTTCCAGTATTTACTCATTATCAGTCTAGAGATAAGAAGTATTTGGTTAAAAAAAAAAAGTATTTGGTAATACCACAGAACTCTTGGGAACACACCTTGATATAAACAAGATGAGATAAAAACTACACAGTGTTAAGAAATTTGAGGCTTTAAATACTATCCTCCTTAATAATTAAAATGACCAAGTAGGCCATGTAAAATATTCTCAAAGTGTGGATATTTTTGATTAGTGTAAAATAACATGATCTAGGAACAAATTAATGTTTGGCTTTTATGGCTAACAGTTTCAATTTCAAGTACTGTACTTGAATTTTTTATTAAAAAAGTGAAACTGATTAGGATCCCGTTCAAGAAAACAATCCAGTTAATAATACATACTTAACTGTATTACTAAATAATTTCATTGAGCAACATGTTGTTTTGACAATTAGGAGAATTAATGATTCCTGATTCTGTAATGATTTAATATCAGAATGCCCCCCCCGCCGGCGTCCCCCCACCCCTCCCAGTTGAAGCGTTTTTTTCTTCTCTGGATATTGGAAAGGAGCAGCAAGGCAGAACCCTTCTACCTCCTAGGACTCAAACAAGAAAGAATACAGGTCTGATGTACAGTCAGAAGACCTAGGCAAAGGTGAGTTCTGCCTGAGTGACTGACCCTGGGCTAATCGCGCAATGCCATCAGACACCGTATATATACTCGTGCATAAGCTGGGTTTTTCAGCACATTTTTAATGCAGTTTATGTGGTAAAATTAGGTGCCTCAGCTGATATTCTGGTCGGCTTATACTTGAGTATATATATTAAGTTCTGCATCTGTAAAAAGGGTATACTTTTATCTGATAAGCTGGGTACATGGCTGTTATAAAGATCAATTCAAAAGATGTACTTTCCCCCTACTTTGGAGGTGATAGTGTGTATCTAAAAAGGCCTTCTAAGCCTTGGTCTGGTGCCGTTTTAAGTTGGGTATCTTGTACATTATAGTATGTTGAGCAGCATCTCTGCTCTCTACCCACTGGATGCCAGCAGCACTTGCCAGTTGTGACAACCAAAAACTATGTTCTAGGCATTGCTGAATGTCCCTGGAGTACAAGTTCACTTCTGCTCCATACTGTTATTCTGTCCTCCCTCCCTATGATCTGGAACAGTACTAAGTATAGTCTGTTCTTTTTTTAAAAAAAACAACTACTTTGGTTTATGTTTTCAATGGTTACTCATAAGAGCTGAGTTAAGATTAAACTGCCATTTATTTAACTTTTCCAGATTTCCTCAAATACGCAAGCAGCAGTATGTAAGCTTAAATGTTGCCCTTTTTTGTAGCCAAGAATAGTATTTCCTTATACCTCATCCCTTTTCAGCAGGGAGATAAAATGATCGCAGGTACTTTAAGCTGTTTATGACTCAATAAATTAAAACCACCCTGTGAGAGATAAGTTAACACTGCACAGCAGTAGTGACAATGTCCGAAAATAAATCATTTTGATCACCAGCCTAAAAACTCATTACTCTTAACACAAAAGAGCTTTGCACAGACAAGAAGTCCCCAGAGAATTATATAATTTCTATTTGTATCCTAGTTCCTAACCTGTGGAAATGCTCAATAATGGCTTGCTCATTTATTTACGAGCCACATAGTTACTCAGCACTCTGTGTAGGGCAGTGAGTCACACACGCTGATACCGTAAAAATGAAAGAAAAACATGGCTCCTCTGCTTAGTTTTCAGTTAGTAGTAATACAACATCGATGCTGAAAGTACAATGACAGACGACTGAGCTTTAAAGAATTCATCAAATCACACCCAGAAATGTGTATGAGAAAAATCATGTATTCCTTATTAAAATTTATGGCTAAATTAAGAGAGAGGATCAAGGAAAACCTAAAGCAGAGGGATTAATAAATCACAGTCATGATAATATACGAGCCAGTCTCACAGGTCAAATATGCCATTTACATTTCTATCAAGTGTGATTTAGATCCATTTAAGAAATGACCATTCGAAAAAAAAGCAGATTATATACTTGGGACACTAAAGTACCTACCATGTGTAAGTTTGGTATAAAAACGCTCAACCTTGCTTTGCAAAAAGGTTCTCTTGAAAATAAACAAGAATCTGAATAGACCATTTATTTTACACAATTCTTTGGCAAGATACTTTGCAAAACAACAAATCTCAAGCAATTTCACTAGGTTTTTGTTTTCTAGGTTAAAGCAGATGAAATTTTGAAAAACTCTTCACCCAACTTTGTATTTCACTTGCAACCAACAGAAAGAGACTTGGATAGAAAGCTTAAGGGGGGTCAAAAAGTAGCCATTGGGGAAAGAAAGGAACCAAGGGAAACAGAAAAACTGTGGACAGCCTATTCTTCTTTCTGTTGGGTGCAAACAAGGTCTGGGCTCAGCGCTTGTGCTCACAGAAGAGATGGAAGATGGTGACCGAATCCTGGGCTAGCACCTTCCCTTCTGTGAAAAGATTGACTTCCCTTTCTATTTCACCCCAATCATTGGACATTCGAGGGATTTTTCAAGGCCACTTCAGTGTAGACAGAGGTATGAAATTTCAGTCCAGCTCTATAATTGTTGCATGCAAGGTATCAATTTCCATGTTATAAAAACTGGAGCAAGAAGCATTTTTAAAAGAACCAAGGATTATTATTCCGGTTTCACAGCTATGAGACCAGCTCAGGTGGTCTAGGATACCTGATATGACGATCTCAGGGACATCCAGAATGTTGCCAAATGAAGCGGTTTTACGGTGGCCCCGTTTAGGCTTGGAACAGGCTGCAAAAACACATATATACAGTATACATGCAAACAACCACAAATAGGAACACAGAAAATGACTAGCTACAAAAACAGAATAATCTTTAAATAGTTGTTAATAACGTCATGCAGAATGGCATGCAGAACTATCTAACTTTTCATCCATGCTTAGAAAAGCTGTGCTTAAAGAGCAAACTACCAGTACAAGACATCTAACACACTCATTTTATTAGCAAAATAAAACAGGACAGACACAAAGGAAGCTGTAGGATAATGAAGCTAGATTTCAAATGTGTTCATAGGGACCATCTACCTAGGTGAAACCACTGATACGCAGTGAGAAAATGGAAGGAGGATGGAAGAGAGGTTAAGAGACATTTCTATTTTAATGATACACAGAGATACACACACACACACACACACACACACATACATTCAAATTAGGTGTTTCTTAAATTATGTTAGAGTAAAATCAGTGATTGATAATCATTGAATCAAAGTAAAAAATGTCATAATTAAAAATACTTCCCTCTAATAAACTATTTCCTAGAGCTTTCAAGGTTTAGAGTATATTACTGCCAAGTATTGATTAGTGTTGACAGGCTGGGGAGTATGAACCTTTCAAGGGAAAAAATTCACTAAATATATATAGATTATGTATAAGTCCAAGAATGCATGATAGCAAGTGTTCTACACTTCGGCCAACAACAACAAAAGGAATCATTTTAATGAGGGTGATTGTCCTTATAATCTAGTGAAATATTACTTCTGTAAGTAATAATAAACCAGGGCCTGACTTGAGAAATGCTAGTAGCAAAGTCACGAAACTACTATCATAATTCTACATGTTGTTTTAGGGTAGTAATCCGAATCGGGTAGGCTGATCTTGAATGACAACTCTGACGTGAAAATGGGCCCCCCACAGTATGGGGGTGTCTCCTTGTGTGTACCAACCATCTGACATTCCACAGAGAAGTCCTTATTTCAGGAGATACTTGTGACTCATGGAGAGAAGGGCAGCTTGTTAGTGGTTGATTACTTACACTCAACCCAGTAACTTCGAAAGACCCATCCATGCTTAGGGCACAGACTGCTAATTCCCTGCCAATCTCAGCAGTTCCACTCTCATTTAGAGTCACTGAGTTGGAATCAACTCCACGGCTATGGGTTCATTTCTTTGGAGTTTCCTTAGCAACAGAACCTTGATGCTCTCTACCTGTATATACAAAATCAGCAGGTCTCTGCCCTGGAAGCTATGTGTAGACACATGATCCTATTATGTTGGCCAATGCCAGGTGAGTGTGATTTGTTAGGTAGGACTTCTGGGAAAGTTACGTGAAAAAACTTGACTGTATGCACTTTTACCCTCTCTTCCTTCTTCCTTGTTGCTGCTGGAATGTGGATGTGAGGAACCCAATGTGACTTTGAGGATCGAAGCTATATAATAGGGATCGTTTGCGTTTGTGTGAAAACTCAACATTATGGGCTAAAAACACTGCTATTTTGGATGTTCCATTATATCTCATTCTGGAGCTAACTGATAAATTAAAAAACCATCATTAATTGAGGAAAAGTATGTACAGCATGATGGCCCATGATATGGCTCAGAACAGTATTACAGTAAGAGATTCAAGTGTAATTATTCAAAAAGTGTAATTAAAAAAAAAACACCTAAAAAAAGAAACACATGGTTAGCTAAGTTAAAAAAAAAAAATATATATATATATATACAAATACACATGGAAGTATACATGTATACATATAAAAATGTTAAGGGTTTATCTCTGGGTGGGGTAATTCCAGAAAGATTGCTTGTTTAGATTTCCACATATTCTACAATAGACATGTACTCATTGCTAGAATCAGCTCCACTCTACTCCTGCGAGAACAACAGTAAAAGCCCAACCTGAGCCAGCATTATAACAACAAAACCTGGTTAGAAAAGAAGGTTATTGGTTCATTCTAGGAACACAAAATGTAGCTGTTGTGTTCCTGACCAGAGCTTCCAGGAGCAATCATTTAAGAACTGGTAAGTGAAATTAAAACACAAACTTTCAAGATCTGGTAAAATTACTTGAAATATCATTTTTAACAACTAAAAACCAACTTAATTCTTGTGCTGGTGGGAGGGAGGAGAACAGGCAGTTCAGGCTGGGTCACATCCTATTGGGATCCAGAGTTTATTTTTCTGTTAACTTCAAAACAAGAATGTTGATATTATTTACGTTCTGCACCAAATTGGAAGACTCATTTAAAGTCCCCCAAAGGGGACTAACATTCTGTTTTTGACAAAATTTTAAATCTCAATTCAGTACACATTCTAGCTAAAAGAATTATCTTTGCTAGAAAGTATGATTAGGAAGATATATTTTATGGTCCAAATATCATACTTCTTTTATTTGGAATTTGAAATAACCTATTTTCCTGATTTGCTACAAAGCTTTAATGTATGTTGTAAGCCTACTTCTTACCTTAAATAAACTAGATACAAAAGCCATCTTGATATCCTCCTTACTAAAACAACAGAAACCACCATGCCACAATAAATTACCTACATTTCGCTCCTTCCCTCGGGGCCTTTAGTTCACTCTTACCTGTGGTTGCAGCGATCCGTGCTTCTATCTCAGACATGTCCGCACTCATCCGCTTGCCCTCGGAGGTTGGGGGCAAGCTCTCCACACTGCTCCCACGGGAAGCTCCCAAACTTAAACGCCCAGATTCACTCTGTTAAAATTACAGGCCAATTTGCATTAATGAAGATTTTAGATTTAGGAATCCTGGGCAGCCTAAAAGGAAGAAGATGCCAACTGAGATTTTTAGGGCATCCTATCTGCTCTGAAAGACAAAGGAAGTTTGTAGGGACAAAGTACAAGGTGCAGGAAGGGAAGCAGTGATACTGCCATTGTAAAAGGGCAATCATTGGAGCTGCGAGTCTGACACCCCAACTATTAGTAAACCTAAATGCCTTTGGTAAAATATTTTAAAACCAACAAATGTGTGTGACCAACAGCAATGAATGGGAAGATTTCAGGAAATTCCTTTAGTTAGGTAATTATGCAGGCAAAAAATATCCCCTTTGCATTTTAATGATCAAGCATTATCAGTGGGGATGACCATAGGAAGGGAATGATATGAAAGATGGTAAATTTCAGTTAGTACGATATTATGACTGCCATGTAAGGTTACGATATGATTTTACTTTTAAGAACATCACAAACCTGTTGCTTTGCTTGATTTTTCAATAATTTTGATTCTAAGCGTTTAATAGTATCATTTGTGGCCGGAAGTTGTTCCATGTTGGTGTCACTTTTATTACTGGTGTTGGTAGAAGTGATGTCCATGAATGAGCCTAGAAGCAGAAATATTCATGACTTTATGTTGCAAATAACAAATTGCATTCTACTTATAGCAAAGTATAAACAAGTAAATTTTTCAAAGTACTGATGGGATAAGTGAAAAATTAACAGTAACTTAATAATATATTTATAAAAGCTAGTAAGATACCCAAACAAACCCATTTTAAATGAAACTTAAATGAGAGGAGCCAAAATACCTAAAAAGTCTTCGTGGGCAAACAGTTAGTGCTGCTCTCAGGAAGAAGGGAGAGAGATGGGGAGGAGGAATATGCTGTTCATACATTCAACAAATATCTATGATGTGTACGCCATTTACAGAACAGCAGTAAATCACACAGACTACAGTACTTGACCCCGTGAAGCTAACACTAGCTAGGAAAATAGGCCATAAGTGGAATACATAGTACATTACATAATCATGAAGTGTTTTTTTTTTTAATGAGAGGGTGGGAGGAAGTGTTGGCTGGAATGTTGCCATTTTACACAGAGTTGCCATGGAAAGGCTCCCAGAGACACTGAGAGCCTTCTCCGGAGTGAGTAAGGCGCACAGTATACAGGTCTCTGGGGAAGAGCCATGGTTGCAGAGGGAATGAACACATGCAAAAGTGCTCAAGCAGGAAAGAGTCTGTTCAGCACATGGGAAGCCTGTGTAGTTACACCAGACTGGATGGAGAGGGAGGGAGGGAGGGAGGGAGTGGGCTATGAGGAAAGCAACATGGTCAGAGATGGGAACAAAGGGGGCGGTGAGAAGGGTCTGGAGGTGGGACAGATTGAAAAGCAGAAGCCGGGAGGATTTGTTGAGATTGGTTGTGAGATGATAGAAATAGGGAAGAGGCAGGATGACTTCATGGATTTTAGTCTGAACAAGCAGAAACGAGTATTTATTGATTGAGATGGGGAAAATTGTGAGTGACTGTGAAGAGAAAATTGGGAGCTTGGTGTGAAAAATGTTATATTTGAGATGTTTATTAAATGTCAAATAGGCAGTGAGCATGGAGCTCAGTCCTGAGGATGGGGAAATCTTCAACAAATCGATGGTGTAAAAACCACGATATTGATGAAATCACAAGGTCAAGGGAAAAGGAGAAAGGACAGCTGTGGGCACTCAAGGTGGGATGTATGAGACGTAACCAGCACAGGAAACTGAGAACACGTGACCAGAGAGATGGATGACAAAATCTAAGCCGGAATGGCGTCCTGGAGAGAGCACATGAAGAAAGCGATCAGAAGGAGAAAAGAAGGAACTGTGTCAAATGGGACTGATAGTCAAGTAAGATGATCAGTGGAAATCTTCTGCCAGACTGAGTAATATGGAGATTAGTGGTGACTTTGACAAGAGTGATGTAAGAAAAGCCTGAGTGAATTGGATTCAAGGAAGAACAGAGAAACCAGAAATTTTGATTTTACATATATGCTGTTGGAAAGATAAAGTAGTAAAGCTAACCTTAAATCTACTGATGGGGAGAGGGACAGAAATGGGAAGAGTGGATGGGATGCCAGGGACAAGGAGAAGGAACAAGAGCAAGGGCAGTTCCGTCTTAGTACCAGAACAGAAAAGAAGTGGGTACAGGTGCAGGTAGGTGGGCATATGTCGCCAGGAAGCTTGTAGAAATCCACTTCTCATCAGTCCAATATTCTTAAAGAAATAGCAAGCAAGGTCAGTCTAGAGTGAGACAAGGTGAGAAGGTGTTTGCAATCTGAGGGCAGGCTGAAGTGTGAAGCAAGTCAGCGAAGGGAGGAGCGAGTAACTGAGCTGAGAGGCAGTACAAACTGCAGCAGCTCTGAGCCCTTATCAGGGACAATGAGCGAATGTGGCTCCAGCCTCTGCGGCTGCACTGGTGCAGCCATGGCAAAGCTGAGTGTCACCTGTCAGTGAGGCTTGTGGTGTTTTAGTTTAGGTTGGAGAGCAGGGCTGGGAAGCAAGGATTTCTTTCAAAAAATCACACTAACTTCTTGCAGAATTGAGCGGAGTGAGGGCAGAAGGACCCTGAGATGACTGAGGCTGCCTGAGAAGGTGAAAAAATGGCTGAAGGAAACAGTATGGAAAGAAAGCTTAGACGGGGAGAAGCCAGTGATACAATTTTAGACAAGTTTAGTTTAGAATTCAAAGCAAGTAAAAGATTTTCAGTAAAATTACATTTTGCGGGCTACCTGAGTAGTAACCCAGCCTTAAAATAAGTACTTCTTGAAGCAGTGGTGGGGAAATAAGCCAATTAAAATTTTTTTGCCAGAAAAAGATTTTCTAAATTAAAAAAATTTGTAATTTGGGGGGGGGGCAGGAAAAATACGGTGAGAACAAAATCCATTTATTTCCTATAAACTTGATATAATAATAAAGAAATCTTTAAAATGTTATACATGTTGATGTGACAGGGGAATAGGGCACTGACCCACCCACGGGAAGGGTATTGTTTGTGTCTCCACAGGGAAAGAGGGACCAGATTTAAAGCCAGTGTCAGACAAATGCAGCTTGTTGGCAAGGAGTCGGGAGCCAGTGGAGGGGCCTGAGGGCTCGGCCGCCATGTTAGCTACAGGGACAACTGCCCCCTCCCCCCCCCTGCCAGAAGACGGCACTGAAGCTGCAGCTAGGGAAGAGGGGCATGTCTGATCAGCGAAAATGGGAGCACTTAGGGGGAGGAAGAGAGAGCGGAGCACATCCTGACCCACCAGGCCTGGAGGACGACATCCCCGCTCTGAACAGCCAATGCACAGAGTGGACAATATGACTGATCCCACCACGAGACATGCCGTCCTTTGATGGCCCTGGGCTCTAAGGGGGACAACACTGGAGACTCAGTGTCGGGACTGGCCCAGACTGACCCTGAGACACCGAGGCAAACCACTAAAAGTGTGCGGCAGAGCAATCGTGGGAGCAGAGCAGAGAGCCCCTGAGGGAGTACAAAGGACAGACTCTGGGGCCAGAGAATGGTACCCCATCGGTTCTGATCCTGACTGAAGGACACACTTAGAGATCAAAAATCAGACCTTGATCTATTTACAGGTTTTTCTTTCTGCTTAAAATTTTTTTCTTTTAATTAATTTATTCTTCTATGGGTAATTGGTTTCCTTTTTTGTTGCCATCGCTGTGTTCTGACTGATCGCCTATCTTGCTATGGCTTGGTTTTTGATGCATATTATT